TTCCTAAACTGAACAGAAAGTTCGCCACAGCTAACAGAAAAGGTTACACTGAAGTGAGGTTTACAGGTATTGAGCTAAGATAGGATGTGGTGGTAGCTGAGAGTCATTCACAACACTGAGCATGACATCTCATGATAGTACATGAGTTTGTAACGCTAATTTTGATGTTTGGCCAAAATACCTACAACTCATTTCACATCATGGAATGTTTTAGTTTAAAACTTGGGTGTGAAAGGCAAAATGTGGTTTTGTGGGTATTCCTACAGTACATAGGACCAAAGCCCATAATGGAATGTTAGTTTTGGGTTATGCCGGGTTCACATGGCAAGATAATTGTATTGATATTTGGCCTGGTTTTGCCATTCTGACAATCTTTGGGACACTGTTTTTTCTCTGTTAAAAAGTCCATAAACTATCACCATTGCTTCTTACTTGTCTGCCACGTTTATTTACTCTGAACTCACGTTTGAGCTCCAGAGGTCTTGCAAGATTTCCCGTCTGGCATTTGAATGTTGGTGAGTGAAATCTGTTGTTGTGTGGTGTGTTGTCTTTGCCGTGGCTGTACACCACACACTGTAGGACCAAACCTGTTGTGAAGTGTCTATGAGATTTTATCGACATGTCAGTCTTTAAAAATCAGCCAACAATTTTAAAATCCTGCCGTGTGAACCAAGTACAGCAGTGGTTAGATGCAGGGTAAGGGTCAGAATTAGGCTACAGAAATGACTGGAAATGAATGGAAGTCAATACACTGTGCTAATAAGAGAAATATAAATTTGTAAGTGTGTGTACTTGTTTGTCAAATGTGTCTCAGTCCTACTGAGGTGTCCTATCTTCTGTTGACTCTTGGATAAAAGCACCAAGTTCCTGAGACCATTAAAGTGATTGAGTAAGCAAAGATGGGAAATGAATTAATGGTTTATTCAATTAAAACAAACACGCAATCCTTCCCTTTTCATGGGGTGACTTAATGACTTTGGCACTTAAAATCACTTAATCCAAATGTAAAACAGTGTTTATATTTGTAGCAACACTTTTGCTGAACTTTCAGTTAATGTTGTCTTGTTTGTCATGATCAGGTCAAAGTGACTCCATCTGCCTCCTTGATGTTCACTCTCACTGCCAAGATTAATGACGAGATTACGTTTTGTCTTTGTGCCGGCAAGAAAAAGAGCGTCCGCTGGATTTTCACTCCTTCAGTTATTGGTGAGTGTCAGAGTTTTATAAAAAGCAAATTGAAGAAATATCTGTCTAAACCTTCTTTAGAATATTTCCATCTCAGCTTCACCTCAGTACAAAATACTTAAATTATTCAAAGAGACTGAAAATAATGACTTTTTGCTGATCCTTTCTAGGGGATGTGGACGTGGTTCTGACTGCTAAGGCTGTGCCTTCACAGACTCCTTGTTGCGATCAACAGGTGCACGTGCCAGAAAAAGGCCACACTGTTGTGAAAAAACGATCCCTTACAGTAAAGGTTGGTGACAAAGCAAGATGACAATATTTCCCTCTTAAGCATTATAATATAATGGCGTTACTATGTTTGTCTGTGTTTCTTTCCTGTCCACCAAACCCAGCCGGTCCAGGCAGATGGCCACCTGCCCTGAGCCTGGTTCTGCTGGATGTTCACCCGCTTCGGATGTTATCATCCATGAAATGGTCGTTATTAGGCGTTATCGGTCCCCTAGAATGGCTTCAGAATGTCAGCTGGTTAGTATGAGGCATAAAACCACTATCTGGTTAATATGAGGCATAAAGACACTATCTGGTTATAATATGAGGCATAAAGACACTATCTGGTTAATATGAGGCATAAAGACACTATCTGGTTAATATGAGGCATAAAACCACTATCTGGTTAACATGAGGCATAAAAAAACTGGTTAATATGAGGCATAAAGCCACTATCTGGTTAATATGAGGCATAAAACCACTATCTGGTTAATATGAGGCATAAAGCCACTGTCTGGTTAATATGAGGCATAAAGCCACTATCTGGTTAATATGAGGCATAAAACCACTATCTTGTTAATATGAAGCATAAAAAATCTGGTTAATATGAGGCTTAAAGCCACTAAGGTTAACTTTAGAGCAAATGAAATTGTTAGCGCTAAAGACATCACCCTCCAATTGTTGTATTTTGTGGCCTTCCAATAGGGCAATGGGTAGAGTGTTGGACCAGAGAGCAGGAGACCAGGGTTCAGGACTGACATGGACACAAAAGATTTATCACAGTATATTTTTGGTTATTTACACATTCATTGTCATTGATACATTAACCCACTAGGGGGCACTGTCAGGACAGTCTGAAGCCTAAAAGGCACAGTAGGGGCCCTCTGAAGCCATTGTATGGGACTGATAATACCTAATAACGTCCATTTCATGGACTGATAACATCAGAATCCCCTGGGAGGTTTCTTCCTGTTAAAAGGGAGTTTTTCCTCTCCACTGTCACCAATGTGATGCAAAAAAATCCCACATATTTACCCTGAAAGTTCTTGGATCACACTGCCTCCCATTGATTGTGTAAAATCTTCATATCCTCTGTATAACCATGGTGATCAGCTCACAAAAACAAAGCACCAATATTAGCATCTCTAGTTAAACAGAAGGTCTTCATGGAAAAATACAAGAAAGCATGATCTATAACTACAACTGAATCTGTAAAGCTTGCAAAACCAGCTTCTTTGTTATCTGTTTTCTTAATTCAATCAAACACACCCATGGATTCACTTTAACACAGGTTCCTTGTGTGCAACATGTGTTGTGCTGTGTTATTTTTAATGTGAATGAGGAAACAGAGAGGAACACAACTCCAGAAAAGGACAGAGATTTAGGGATCATTTACAAAACATAAAATCATGCTATAATACTAACAGAATGGTTGGATTTCAACTAAATAACTTTCCATCCCTCTTAGCTACAGTGAAACAACTCGCACAAGAGATTTGACATTTGTAAAAATTGTTTAAAATTTTAAATGTGAACACTACAACCTTGCCATTACCGACCTCTCTGCCAGCAGGACCGCAGTGATTCTCTCCTGAAATGTTTCAGTCACACAGTTTGACAAGCATTAGAGATGCTGCAACAGTTAATTTCTCATCAACATCATGCATTAAACACATTTAAAAAAGCATGCGTTTCATGGAAAGTTGGTTCTAGAATTAAGACTTTTTTGTAATAAACTGAAGGTTACTGTGAACATAACTGAACAAATCTCTCCCTCAGGCTGAGGGAACTGAGATCATAAAGACCCAAAGTTGGCTGCTCTGCCCAAAAGGTTAGTATGGTTTCTCTATTTTTATGCAGAAGTTATTTGTGGGTCTTCCAACCCATTTTTACATATCAATACTTTAGCATATTTATCATATATGACAAACATCCAAAAGAATGTCACAAGCTCTTTAAAAAGATCTATATTTTTCGGTGTTTATGTGACTTTAAACTGACACAGTTCTGTACATTCAATGAACATTACAAGTTTGAACTAATGCATTTTGTCTGTTGTCTATACCAGCAGTTTACAAGTACTCTTACTCATTTCACATCATGACATGTTTCATTAAAAATGCCCCAAAACTCAGGACCAGTACTGATACTGTATTTGATACTCAACTGAATGCTTTAAATACTTTTTTTGCCACTTCAGTAGAAAACAAAACTGAATGTTAGTTTCTTAATTTCTGCATCATCAGTGGCTTTTTTATAATAATACTTTAGTAAGAAAGACAAAGAAAAAGTAGAAGAGAAATATAAGAACAGTAAAGAGAGAAATCGATAGAAATTATACAACATGTGAAATGAACACCAATAACACACTGAATGCTTTAAATACTAACATTTTAAACTCTATGTAATCTGTTAATGCTCAGAGTTGGTGTTGGGGATGACCATCAGCTACTACCACACAAAATTATAGCTAAACATACACAGCCTGGCCAAAAAAAGTGTCCACCTGGATTTAACTGAGGTCTATAATGGTTCTAGGATATTTACCCCCCTAAGACCCTTGCCCCCCCAGATACTTATCTGCTGGACGCTTACCCCTTTAGGACTCTTAAGCTGGAAGCATACACCCTCCAACGCTGACGGGTCGACGCACAGTCACATGGTTGTTCGGCAGTCGTTTTCGCACACACCTTTCATAGCTCCAGAGACACCCCGCGCCGAGCTCCTGGGAAACCCCCCTCCCGCTGCAGCATACAACACTGCATTGAGTTTCTTCACGCAACAGCCGACAATGCAGAAAAAAAAGTCAGACCCATCACTCACCCGACGTATTTATTCACATCTCTACTGGTTAAAGCTCCACAGTTTTTATCAGTCAGATTCCTCCGTGCACGTCTGTTTAATCTCCATTCATGAGTTTTTCACGGTTTGACTGTCTTTATAAAACTCTGCTTGAACAGTCGGCTCTAGAAGCGAGTTTTTTCTTTCTTTTTTCTTTTGAGTGTCAGAAAGCTTTCAGTTTCAGCACAAACACGCCCACGAATTTCCGACCAATCACACATTACCGTCAACATGGGAGAGGGATTAAAAGTTCTGCCGGCGGGTTGTGCCAAAAGGGGCTGTCGAACCGAAGCTGCAAAGCCTAGTGACGTAATTTTCATCATGAAACTGCGACAACCTGTGCCGACATCGGCAGTTCGGAGGGAGTATGTTTCCAGCTTCACTCCCCAAGACACACCCCTCTAGGACACTTACCCCCACGACACTTACCCCCCAAAACACTCACCCCTCTAGGTCACTTACACCCCAGGACACTTACCCACCAAGACACTTACCCCTCTAGGTCACTTACACCCCAGGACACTTACCCCCACCCCCAAGACACTTGCCCCTCTAGGACACTTACCCGCAGGAGACTTACCCCTCTAGGTTACTTACACCCCAGGACACACCCCCACCCCCAAGACACTTGCCCCTCTAGGACACTTACCCCCAGGACACTTACCCCCCAAAACACTCACCCCTCTAGGTCACTTACACCCCAGGACACTTACCCACCAAGACACTTACACCTCTAGGTTACTTACACCCCAGGACACACCCCCACCCCCAAGACACTTGCCCCTCTAGGACACTTACCCCCAGGACACTTACCCCCCAAAACACTCACCCCTCTAGGTTACTTACACCCCAGGACAC